AAAGGACAGCCTAGATAAAACACCTCCCTCCTGGAAATAATAAAAATAATAAAATTTACCTTAGATTAATGCTGAAACTACAAATTCAGTTTTAAAACAGCATTTTAAAAAAGGAGATCATCAGTGCTCCATTACTGTAAGAAAAAGATAGTTAAAACCTATACAAACATGAAAACAAAACCAAAAAAAAAAAGCAAGTGTACCCATCAGCTATTTCTGGGATGAAATACAAGAGCCATATTACGTGGTATTGCAGTGCTAGAGGACAGGAGGTGGATACTGAAGCTGGTTCAGGCATTCTGGAACAGAACATTAGATACACAACTACTAGGACTACAGTTATTTACCTAGCACTGTTAGCTTTAAGGGACATAATTATTCAATACATTTACAATAAGCTAACTTAAGAATGGATCCTATGCATTATACAAAAAGTAGTTAAAAAAACATGGATAAAACACTCACTAGTCCAATATCAGAGCGATTTTTCCACAGGGCCTTAAGAGCTTTCCTGGCTACATCCTCGAACACTGGATCACCTGTAAGATGGCTTAATGTGGCAAATTCCACTATAAATGTCCCAATGCCAGCAGTACAGGTAACTGGGGTCTCTCCAGGGTTTACTCCATGCAGCAAATTCACTGTCCCAAATGGCATCCCAGTTGGGGTCTGAAAAGCTTAAACATGTTTTTGTTCATATCAATGCACAATATTTAACAAGGTGTCAGCAACTGCCTGTCTCTTATTCAACTGCATGTACATCAACAAGAGACCAGGATGGAGTAGCTTCCAACTAGTGCACAAACTAAACCAGGGGTGGGCAGTTATTTCAGCTGGAGGGCCACTTACTGAGTTCTGGTGAGCTGTTAAGGACCGCAAGGACAGGTGTCCCATCTTCTGCTATCTTGGGACTGGAAGTCCCACCGCTAATCCATGGCCTTTGCCACCAAAGTCCCTCCCCTTGCCCCCAGAAGTATTCCTTTAGGGGGATTGCCATCTTGGAACCAGAAAAAAACCCAACCAAATCATATACTAAAAATCAAGCATCCACTATAACATATATGTTTTTATTAAAAA